TACCAAAAAGTGTAGCCATATTCATAGTAGTTAAATCTCTGGACTTAGAAATGGTTGTTACCTTTGGTTGCCAACTCCTATTGAGACTCTTTAAAATCTTGATATTGATCTCCTCCTTCTCAAAGACCTTACCGAGAGCTATCAAGTGATTTACAATATGTGTGAACCTCTTATGCACATCGTAGATTGTCTCTCCTGTTTTCATTCGGAACATCCCGTATTCTTGCACTAAGGAATTCTTTCTTGCTCTCTTTACTTCATCCGTACATTCACGTGTTACTTCAAGTACTTCCCACATCTCTTTGACACTCTTGCAAGTAGATACCTTGAAAAAATCATCAATAGTAAGAGTAAAGGATATAACATTTCTAGCCTTAATATCATACTGTGCTCTTCTATTTTCCTCTTGACTCCACTCAGAAAAAATTTTCAAAATAGGTTTTCCATCAATCAATTTGGTGGGTTCAAAGGGACTATTAAGAACAAAATCCCATACACCTTTGTCCACTGACTCAAGAAAGATCCTCATTCTAATTTTTCAAAAAGGGTTATTTTCACCCGCAAATAGAGGTGGTCGGTTTGTAGATGCACCTTCAGCAAAAGTTTGAGAAACAAAAGCCATTTTAGGATCGAATAATCAATTATACAAAAAGGGTAATCAATTTCTTTTTCAAATAACTTTTAAAAACCAGATCTGGTGCCAATTGTTAGAAATTATGAGGTATGCAATGTATGTATGCAATGAAAATGTAAATAGATAAGGAGAGAAAAACAAACACAGTTTTTATCCTGATTCGGCCTCAATGCCTACATCCACCCACCCTTCCAATCAACCACAAAATGAAGATTGCAGAGACTTCTTATGATCAAAACAGATACACCTATAGTAGTGTTAATGTGATCAGCCAATGTAGTCCACGAAAATGCCTCAAAATTCTTTAAATTCTTCACGTTCTTGATTCTTGGAGCATATGTGCAACCTGTAAAAACTTTTCTCACGAGAATATCATATATGACAATTTACAATTGATCAAAAGTTACAGTATTGCCAGCAGTGCGTCAATATATAGTTTTTATCAGTTCAGACGCAAAACAATTGATTACGTTACTTATGTAATCGATTACATTAAAACAAATGTAACGACATTACAAAAAACTCAACTCTTAATAGAATGCTCAATTAATGTAATTGATTTGCCATAAATGTTAGTAAAACATATTTAAAAATATGACCGTTGAAGTAGTTATGACTAGCATGAAATCAGTTTTCAAAACATAACAGACTTAATTGAATACACAACATATGTAATTGATTAAGCTTAACACTTAAACAGATTTTGAAAACATTTCTTCTCAAAAACTCATCACAGCACATTTGAAAAAGATATATGCAAACACACAAGTTTTAATCGATTTAACAACTAATATAATCGATTCAAACTAGTTGTTTTGCCACAATTAAAAACATAAACTCTCTGATGACCTTAATTGATTACCACAACATTATAATCGATTATGTCATGCAGATATACTTTTGTGCTTGTGGTTTTCATTACACAGAAACATACAATGTGCATACAGATATAATCACAATAGTATGCATAACCAACACAATATGTCCACATATTCCACATATATGCATTTATCACAATAAGCATGTACATATTCCACATTGTTTAACACAAGATAGAAACAATTTTCTGTTGTGACATGATAACGTTCATGTGTTGTTGCTATTAATGTGTTGTCACTGATAACGGTTGAATTTACCGTTATTTGCTACTTAATTTTGATACTAAAAGCACCCTTTTTGACTTAGAAACTTGTTTTAACTCATGTTTTTGCTTTAGTTTTGTGAATAAGAGAGTTAAGGTTATAATTGATAATTTTATCACTAAATTCCCTTGATTTTGTAGGCTATTGGAATGATTTGAAAGAAGAGTTAAAGTACCAAATAGTTGGAATGCAGAAACGTCAACAAGAATGCAGAAAACTCAACCATAGTGTAGAAAAGTCAACCAGAGTGCAAACAAGTCAACTAGAATGCAGAAAAAGGGCGTTGAGCGTAGAAAAAGGGCGCTGAGCGCCAGTTTTCTTCCCGCACCACGCCTGGGCGCCCTTCTAAGTTGACCTTGAGCGCAACTTTTGACCCACACACCGCTGAGCGCCATAAGGGGGGCGTTGAGCGCCAGTCTTGTGGGCTTGGACCCGTTTTCTGTTATTTTTATGTTCTATTTAAGAACTGGCACGTCCTAGGGTTTGTATCTTTGGACGGAATAGGCTCAGAAACACACTTTTCACTCCCTTGAAGGAGGATTTGGATGCATAAGCTTTTATCTTCAATTTGTAGCTATCTTTCATTCTTTTTCCTTTGTTCATCTAGTTTTCCATGTCAATGGTGAACTAAACTCTATTTGTTGTTGGGGATGATGTAACCTTTGTAAACTATCATGTATTGAATTGATTCTTGATATTATATGCTTCTTTAATTAATTGTTAGGATAATTCTTCTTTGCGTAATGCTTGCTTCATTTAACTCATTCTTTAGCATGATGTATGATTTGCATGAGTACCGGAAGGTAGATTACAATTCATGATATGGAGAATTATTCCCAGAAGTAGTATTGCTCAGGAATGGGGGTATGAGTTTTGGTTGTTTTAAGCTCCTGTTCTTCATAATTAATTATTAGGAATGCTAAGAATCGTATGAACTAATAGTTAAGGATAAACTTTCTTCGCCGAGGAATCAGGTTTTAAGTATTTCAGAGAGTGACATTGACATTAATAAAGAAGTAGAATTCGCATATATATAAGAGTAAACAAGGTGAAATCTAACCCCAACAACATATTCATTCCATAATATCAAACCCGTTCATCTTTGCACTTTTGTCCAATTGATCAAATTGCATGCATATTTACTTTTCAGTATTTAAATTCTAAACCTAAAAGAGTTTGTTTTCAAGTAATATTTAATCAAGAAATCACATAACTGTTTAGGCCGTGAGTCCTTTGGGATACGTACTTGGTCTTACCATTTTATATTACTTGATACGATTTGGTACACTTGCTAGAGTCTTAACAGTCACCATAAAAAACAACATAACAGAGATTGAGTTCAGCTATCACATTGCTCCCCCTATCAACATAATTGATTACATAAGTGTAATAATCTGTTAGATTTTATTAGAACACTTAGAAAGCTAAACAAGGACAAATCACTTTCTTATAGTCGATTATATAAGTTACATAATCAATTAAAACTGAGAGGAAGCCATAATTTGTTATATAAATAGCACATTCTATTAAGGATGACTAATGGATGAATAATATGGCTAAATGTTAATATAATCGATTACATAAGTTTAATAATCGATTAAAACAAAAAGAATAATCTAATCCATTACACAAATAGCCTAATTTGTTAAGACTGTTAGAAGTAGCAATTATAGGCATAAGAGTTCAAATAATCGATTACACACATGAGATAATTTGTTAAAACAGAAAGAAAAACATGACAAATTACACAAAAACAGAAGCATAACATAACATAATTTGTTAAAAGCTACTTTTCTAACATTTTTAAACATACTATTAATTCTAAAACACAATTTTCTGTATTTTTAAACATGTAACTCTTATTGTGAAGCTTTGATTATTTATTTTTCTTTTGAAATCTTAAATTTAATAATAATAATAATTTAAATAAAATAATATTAAAAACAAATTTTAAAGTTTAGTTAAATAATTTTTAGTTTTACTGTCTTTCTTATACTTTTTTTCTTATTTACTTTTTCTTTATTTATTCAATAATGCATTAACATATTCATTTAGATTTTTTCATTATAAAACATGTGGGTATACCTTAAACCTGCCAGTCAGAAGTACTACATTTTTGTGCTTTCAGTTAGAGGTGTGCGTAATTGATACTGAGGTTAGAAGATGCCTATAATATGAAAAGACTACGCATACATACAAATAATTTTTTTTATAAAAATAATAATTTATTGAATTAGTTTTATCCATTTATTATTTTACTTTACTGTTGTATTTTACGTATTTCCTATGTATACCTTAAGTGAACATGTGGTTGCCAACTAGGCTATTCAAACAATCATTTTATGTCTTGATTAGAAAAAAAAATCTATTTTCCAATACATAAGCATACTGCTATTATTTTTAAGAAATAAAGGCTACATATGTATCTATTTTTACATATGCCCTAAATAGTTTTATATCAAGCCCTTTTTACAATTATGGTTCACTTTTTCCATGTATTACATTGGTCATATCATAATTGCAAATTTTTACATAAATTTTGATGTCTACGTAACAAATAGGATATATTTTTCTAAAATTTTGACGCATTTTGTGCACAGTACTTTTTATAATAATATATAAGATTTTTTTAAAATAGACTAACGTGCAAAGTGCACTATTTGTACCTAAGGGCATTTGTTTTCAATAGATTAAATCATTAATGTTTGTAAAAAGAGAATTAATTATATATAAATAATATATATATATATATATATATATTACTTATTTTTATAATGAAATGATAGAGATTAAAATTATAAATTTAAAAAAAATGAATTTAGATATATAAACTAAAATAAATAAAAAATATTAAAAATTACTTTTAAAGATAAATAAAAATAAAATATATATCCATATAGAATAAAAATAATACTAAAGTCATAAGAAAGGTCTCACTATTTACTACATGCTAAAATTTAACAACATCAAATTCAATCCAATGTCTAAAAACCAATAGGGATTAATATAGGGAAACTTTGTTAACCAATTAATAAGCACATATAGTAAATGATATATTTATTCCAATATTAAAAGATTAAGAATTTAGTTATTACATTTTTTTCTTTCCTTAAATAAATATAATAAAAAAAAATTAGGAAGCTTCGTGGAAAGTGCACCAACCTGCTGTGCTGACAACCCGACATGCTTATTTATAATATTTCTCTTCTGTTGTGGCTAACTATCATCACATACTCTCATTCACTCACTCGGTTAGGTGCCACCTTGTCTTCACATAAAATATTTTTCATTCATTCAACTTTTAATTTTCTTGTTATTTAGAAGTACAAAGTTTTCAGGTATTGAAAATGGAGGTGATGGAGAATGGTGGTGCAAACATGAAGGGGTTGTTGAACAAGGAGATGAGACATGGAAGAACAGCACATAACATGTCGTCTTCTTCACTGCGCAAAAAATCTGACCTAACTCTTGTGTCTAAGGTTAATTTTGGTCCTCTAAAAGACATGTTGGTGAACATTCAAGAGGTTGTTTTGGGAACCAAACTCTCTATTCTCTTACCAGCTGTTCCAATTGCCATTGTTGCTCAAAGTTATGGATTTGGAAGAGTGAGTTCTCTTCTGGTTTTTCTGTACACACACCATTTTTCACCTGATGAGTCTGAATTATTATCATCTGTGTAAGTGAACAACATTGTATGTTTTATAAATTATAAAATTTAAACATATGTTTCCTATGAAATTAGCATGATGTTCCAACACTCCTTAATCTCTCTTGAACAACAAATGCTTCTTCTGTCTCATGTATGGTTGAAAAGAAACAAAAGCAATGCATGAATGGACATGAACACTGATTATTTCAACTCCATTTTTTTAATGTAGAATGTGAATAAATCAGTGTATATTCTTGAATTATTAATTACATCATTACATTTCAATAGATTTAGTTAAGTTTTATGAATTATTCCTTTTTATAAATTAAAAGGGTTAAAGATAATTCAAGTTTCATGAATTGACTCTCCAGATATGTAATTCTTGTCTCGTCGGTACAAAAGGTACAGGAAAGGTACAGGAAAGGTACAGGAGTTCAAAGCTTAAAACCACACATGGATTGAAAGTCAATTTTTTTTTTTAATTTCAATCAAATGTATTTTTATCACTCATCTTCCTTCACTTGTGCTACATGTCCTTTTTAATAAAATTATTTTACGTATATACTTTTTTAGCCTATGATTATATTCACTCAAATCATCCTTGTAAGGATAATGACCGCTCTCCTTATATACTACTTTAAAAATAATTTATATTATTATTTGAAAGATTTTAACAAAGGTAATCCTTTAATACTTATTTATTTATATATATATAGATAGATATTCATTAAAAGTTTTTTTTTACTACTTTTAATAATTAGTTTTGTATGTACGTCAAAGATCCCAATGTGTTCATGATTTAGAGTACTTTTTTGTTTGAAGGAGAAAAATAATTGAAGTATCTATGTGGTGATAATATAGACAAACGCATAATTTTTGTTTCTTTTATAGAAAAGTGTCCTATTCAGAGATTGCATTATCAATAATAATCACTTTCTTTTGTTGTCTACAGCCTTGGGTTTTTGCATTGAGTTTATTGGGGCTTACCCCACTTGCTGAAAGACTCAGTTTCTTGACAGAGTAAGAAAACCATAACATGATTCTACATTAATATTTTTTTATTATTCTGTAAATTTTTCTTTACCCTTTTAACGTTTGTTTACTGATACTCCTTTCATTCACTACCTTGGTATTGGGTACTTCAAAATTTGCAGACAAATTGCTTGCTACACTGGTCCCACAGGTAAGTGGGGAATATCCATAACTGTATGTTCTACAAGAACATGTTCTTTCTTTTAAGGTTTTTCAGTGTCAGTGTACTATCATGTTTTCTTTAATTTGGACTAAATATGAATGTCACTTTATAATCATAAAAAAAACAAAATTACAATAGTCTATCATTCTTTTTTTTTTTCCATAAATTATTGATCTTTTCTAGCCAATATTTTCTCAATAAAAAAAACTTTTATAAAATGTAAGAGTATATAATTGATCGTCATGATATTTAAGTCTTACTTTTATGTTCTTTTTTGTACAGTGGGAGGACTTATGAATGCAACATGTGGGAATAGTACAGAGCTCATTATAGCAATTTTTGCCCTTAGCCATAATAACATTGCTTTGGTCAAATATTCTCTTCTGGGTTCTGTAATTTCTAATCTTCTTCTGGTTCTTGGAACCTCTCTATTCTGTGGAGGTCTTGTAAACCTTAGAGAGGAGCAGAAATATGATAGAGTAAGACTTTTCAATCTATTCAAAAATTTTAGGTTTAATAGTTTTTTTTTTCTAATATTTGAAGATTCCTCAATTTTTTTTTCTTAATTTAATTTTTATTTTATTTAATAAGAGTTAGTGGAATTCATTCCATTAAATTGATATTAATACTGTTTAAAATATGAATGAGTAAGTTTAATTTTCTATTTACAACAACTGTTTCTACTCTGTTGGAAGACAGTCTGATGAGGTGAATAGAAACAAAGAGAATAAACTACTTAACATTCTTTTCAAAGACAGCCGGATGGGGTAAACAGAAACAAAGAGAATAAAGATTTGGAGAAGTCTATAGTTGTCATATTCCAAACAGTGTCCATACCAATTTAATGAATGAAACCTAAATACAATGGAAACTGAATTGAGGAATAAAAATAATTGAGGGATGATATTTAATAAAAGGACCAGAAATTAAGCCAAACTTGTATACATGAATTGCCTATCTTCTTTTGAGATTAAACAATGACGAGAGAGTTGATTGTTTTGCAATGTTTCTTGCAGAGACAAGCAGATATGAACTTGCTTATGATGTTTGTGGCATTGCATTGTCACTTGTTGCCAATGCTGTTCCATTATGCTGCTGTCTCAGAAGGTGTCACTGCAGAATCATCTCTGCAGTTGTCAAGAGCTGCTAGCATTATTATGGTGATAGCCTATTTTGCCTACCTTGTGTTCCAGCTTTGGACTCACAGACAACTATTTCAAAACCACGATGTAAGCTTTCTTTCATTTTGAAATGATGAAGCTAATGTTGATTTTTCTTCATGCCAATATGTAAATAGTAATTGTCATCATGCATCTTGCAGCAAAATGAAGAAGAGGGTGACACTGATTCAGATGCAGCAGTGATAGGATTCTGGAGTGGGTGTGTTTGGCTGGTTGGGATCACTGTGATCATTGCAGTGCTTTCTGAATATGTGGTGGAAACAATTGAGGTAATTGACTTTTTTTTGCTTTTCTGAGAGATGAAAATAAGTTATAATATTTTGATAACAATACATCAGTTTATTTTACAAATTGTAAATTCACACATTTTGTTATGAAAATTAATATAACAAATTCAACCTGCGATTAATGTGAATGTGTTTTCTTATTACTGTTTTGGTGTCTGAGTATCATAATCTGTTATAATATCAGCTGGTAGTGATGAAAAATATGTGAAATTGAACAGGATGCATCTAATTCATGGGGTTTGTCTGTTAGCTTCCTCAGCATAATCTTGCTTCCAATAGTTGGTAATGCAGCAGAACATGCTGGAGCAATCATATTTGCTTTCAAGAACAAACTGGTATAAAGTTTTATGAAATTTTGATACTTTTCATTTATTACATAAATTGCTTGAAACTATGATTCTAATCATTTGTCCACATTCTTATGTGTTTAAATGGATATTGTTTTATAATTTAAAATCTAGTTTAATTTCCTGAGACTAACATAATGATTTTACTGCAGGACATTTCTTTGGGTGTTTGTCTGGGTTCTGCAACTCAAATTAGCATGTTTGTGGTAAGCATATACGCCTTGAAAACAATGAATATTTAGTTGGATAAATAAAAAATGTCACTAAACAAATGTTATTACTACAATGTAGGTTCCCCTTTGTGTGATTGTTGCTTGGATTCTGGGAATTGAAATGGACCTCAGCTTCAACCTCTTAGAAACAGGTTCACTTGCTTTGGCAATAATAACCACAGCCTTCACATTACAGGTATACTAATTACATAAATTATGTATCATCATTTATGTTGGTACAGCAGAATCATTGATTAAACATATCTTCCATTGAAGGATGGAACTTCTCACTACATGAAAGGCCTTGTGCTATTTCTGTGCTACATTATCATTGGGACATGCTTTTTCGTACAAAGAACACCTTCCGGTAAGCTTAAGAAATATTTTCAATCTATGTATTTATGTACTGTCTGAAATTATAATTCATGTATAAAGTTTTGTCACTCGTTTTCCCAGACAAAAATAATGCTTCCAGCATAATGCTCAAATCAACAAGGGAAGCAGTTTTCAGCGTTTAAATGGTAAATCCATGTTGTCTATATACATCCAGATATAATCTTTTTGGGTGCATTCAAAGAGTCTATGAAATTAGCTATGAGCATTTGATTGCAGGCATTTGTGGGTGTTTTTGGTGTCTGAGATAAAGAGTTGGAGCATCCAAACTTTCAACAAGATTCAATGCATTTGTTATTTGTTCATTTGTCATTCCAAACCAAAGAGATGAACAAGTTCTGCATGCAGTATCTTTCAATCTCTTTGGTTGTTTCTGTATATAGTTCTCTTCAAAGGATTTTCTTTTTCTAGATTTCCATTGCATAATTGTGACATCATAATGAAATAAAATGAGAATTGTTATTTGGAATATGCGGTCGCATAAGAAGGTGTTGTAAATAATTTAAATGTGAATTTAAATCTTAAATTAGGTAGAAATAATAAAGTTAAATGTTATATAAGAAAAAATATTTATTAATGTAATGTCTGAAGGTTTTCTATTAAAAGTGATGCATGTTAATTTTTATTTGGATTGGGTTCATATTACATTTATGCAATGGGTGTTTCACCTTGCACCTCCAAGATTTCAATGCACCTCCAACTTTTAAAAAAATTCACTTTTAATCTTAATAACTTTTTTAATTTTTTCTCTTTCTTAATTATTTAAATCAGTTTACACATATGCATTTCGAAGTTCAATTTATAAATTCTTTTAAATTTCATTTTTAGATTTAAAATTTAATGATAATCTAATTTAATTTAATTTTTTTTATTATTTAATATAAATTTATATCTTAAAAATTATTAAAATATAATTTCTATTATTATAATAGTTATATTAAAAATAATTAAAATAAAAGTAATAATAATGAAAATAGAAAATAAAAAATAAACCTATAAAATCTGATTTAATATATTTAAATATATTAAACTATATTATATATTAAAATAAATTAAATAATTATTAAATATTAAATAAAAAGAAAGTTTTAAAAGAATTTGTTTATCTCATATCCAAAATCGGTAATACATATTAAAGAATTGCGATATCCGATAAATAACCTTTTAAAATATTTTTTTATTTCAAATTTCATTTTTATTTTGTTTAATTCAAATTTTAATATTATTTAATATATTTTTATATTTTCATAATAAATAAAATATAATTCATACTATAATAAGAGTTATATTAAAAGAAATAAGATAATTAAAATAAAATTTGATTTAATTATATTTAATTAAAAAAATTTAATTATCGGATATAAAAATATGTTAACAGATATCTCATAAACAAAATTTTTAAAATTTTGTTTTCCATTTGAAATTTAATAATTATTTAATTTAATTTAATATTTTAATATAATTTAATATATTTAAATATATTAAATCAGATTTAATATTATTATATTATAAAACCTCAAAAAAGGGTATTTTTAGAAATGGTGGTAGTCTAAAAATAGTGGGACTCGATTATTTTAATATTAAACGGTTTTATTATAAATAATTTGTTATAAATGAGAATTTTAAAATGTACCATATGTCTAGAAACCACTTTTCTAGAGTTATCTACATTCTCTCTAAGAGTTCTAACTCTTGAGTCATCTCTTTGATCAAGAGGTACCTAATGGACCACAACAACGAGGTCTACGTTTACTCTATCAGTTTCTTCAATAGAGCAAGTAAGTTTCGACTTCTTTTTCCTCTTTCGTTCCTAAATCTGTTTTAGAGAAATTTAATATTGTTGCATGTGTAATCATGCCTCTCTTACACGTGATTCATCTACAGTTCTAAGGACTCTGTTCGTTTTCAATTTGGTGTTTTGTAGGTTCGTCTAGGTTATATTGTTGGATGTATATTGGGGATTGAAATCTGAGCTATAGTGAAAATGAAGTTTATAGTTGAAGTTTAGTAGTGTTTTGAAGGAAAAAGGAGGTCTAAGGTAGTGAAATGGTGAAAGAAGGATGATAAAGTGGTTTGAGGAAGTTGAGGTCTGTTATGAGATGATTTGTCACTTCTTTTGAGGGTTGGAGTAGTAAGAATTTGAATTGTGGGTTCTGTGTTTAAATGGTCATTTTGGAGGGTGTTAGTAAGTCATTTGGGACTTGTTGCAGTTCCTAAGTTGTTTGAAAATAAACCATAATTGTTTGAATTCAATTTGGGTCTCAAAAGTGAGGTTTTGATAAATTGTAGTTTGAAATCTTGTGTTAAATGAGTTTTAAATGTGCTTAGGTTGGTTTAGAAACATTTATTTAGGTATATTTGAGTCTGGAATACAATATAGGGGTGTTAGAAGTTGGAAAAAAATGCATAGGATAGGTCATGAGGAGTTGAGGGGTGCAAATTCTGCAGATTTAATGCTGTAGAATTGTGTAGTCTTACTGAGTGAACTCTCAACTGAGCAAGCAGAACACTTCTAGCTTTGTGAACTCCCCGCTGAGCTCGATGTGAGTGAGCAGAACCCACTGTTTTTGTTTTCGCACAGTGAGCTGGTGTCTGTTGAGCGACTAGTCAAAATCATGTTTTGAATATCTTTGTTTTTCGATAACTTTAAGCTATGTTTTGACTTTGAGGATGGTGTAAAAATATCTATAGTATTCAATGATGGTGTATTCTTAAAGTTATGTATGATTAAAGATGATATATCTTGTGATTCAATGTGAATGTGAAGTGGTCTCATTGGTTTCAAAGGTATGGAAAATAGTTCCAAGGAGGAACTTCTTAGTGGTGGTTTCGAGTATTGTAAGAATGAATATAGGAAGCTCGGTCTTGGAGTTCATCCTGACATTCTAATGGTCACTCATTCTCAAGTAGAGAGGGTGTTAACTCTTTGGCAAGTGTACCAAATCGTTCTAAGTAATAAACTGGTAAGACCGGATATCGTATCCCAAGGAACTCGTATGACACTCTACAATCGTATACTTATCTAACTAATTTAGACTAAAGAATATTATTCCCTTTATGGTTTTAGTGTAATGAAATTTAACTTAATATATACGTGATAAATTGAACTTCTTGGAGACAAAACACTTGAAAGTTGATTAATGAAGGATGATACAATATGGAATGGAGATGTTGGAGAATGATTATAATTACTACACTCACATGCAAATGCACATTACTACTTCTTCATTTAATTGCTCATGTCAACCTGCCTACAATACTCAAACCCAATCCCTTGGTAGAGAGAGCCTAGACTCACTTGTTAAGTTCCAATTCCTTGGTAACCTAGAAAGTTCATATACATTAAGAATAGTGGTTTAAGACAACTAAAGGGCCAAGCTCTATCCCTAGACACAATTTCCTTTAGGTGTTTAATCCAATTCAAGGTTCACATAATACTTCCCAATATCAAGCAACCCTAAGATTCATGCTATGGTTGATCAAGTCATAGCAAGCTTTAAGAGAAGGAAATAAACACTCACAATAAATGAAAGAAGCTTAAATTCATTGAACACAAGTGCATTTACATGAAAGTTTCGTAGTTACATCATTCCCCAACAAAATGAATTTAGCTCTCCATAGTCATGGAGAGCTTGAGATTACAATGGAGCAAAATGGAAGAGATGGAGACCCAAGGAGGAAGAATGGAGAGTTCTCGCTGCCCAAAACCAGCTCCCAGAGGTCCAAGAATGGTCGTTCTAGCTTCAGCCGCCAAGAAGATACCACCCTCTGTTCACAGAAGCCTTAAATAGGTCTAGGGTTCCAAGTCAGCAAAAGTCGCGCCCAGCCCCCTTTCTCTAGGGCGCCTAGGCGCGAAGTCTGTGCTGGGGACTGGCGCCCAGCGCCCTGTCTTGGGCGCCCGGGCGCGAGACCTGCGCAAAAAGTGGCGCCCAGCCCCCCTTTGAGGGGCGCCCGGGCGCGAGGTCTTTGCAGAAAGTTGCGCCCAGCCCCCCTTGTGGGGCGCCCGGGCGTGAAGTGTTCGTAGAAAGTTGCGCCCAACCCCCCCTTTTCTAGGGCGCCCAGGCGCGAGGTACTTTCCATGCTCCTTCAAAACACTTGCTTTTTTAGCGTTTCCTCGGCTCCCACTCTTGGTAGTTAAAATACTCCTCCAAAGCACGCAAATTGCCTACAAATTGAGGAATTAGTGATAAAAAACTTCTATGTGAAGCCTAAGCTAAACTTATTCACAAACTTAGCTAAAAGAGAGGATTAAACATGTTTCAAGCTTCAAAAGAGTCGATTTGGTAAGAAAATTGAATCACAAATAATGGTAAAAAATATCGTTATCACAACCTCAAACTTGAAACTTTGCTTGTCCTCAAGCAAAAAGAGTGAAATGGCTCAAATAAACACAATGCCATGCATATTGGTCACAAGAAAAGCCAAGCATAATTTCACCTAATCGAGAGCAACCACAATCTAAATTCACATCTCAATCCTATTCTCTCAATATATCACAAAGAAAGAGCAAGCATAAAAGATTTCTAACATCACATGCAATCTCGATATCAAAACATTTTCATCAGATTATTCATTCAGCCAAGTTCAAAATTAAAAAAACAGAGTTAACTAGAAATTAAAAACTGAAATTAAAGCATAACAGAATTTTAAATAGTTTCCACAGTTTGTAATGTCTGATCCTTCAGCCTCAAGAATCACTATCTTTTGTCTCCTCATCATCAGATTCCTCCTCTTCTTCTCCATCATCAGATTGGTCCTCCTCCATTGCCTGTGCTCCGGAAGATGTGCCACCGCCTCCACTGGAGTGGGCTTGGTCCCCAGGCTAAGCTACTCTAGCAGCATAATCTTCTGGAGTCATGAAGCCTGGGTGGGAGGAGGCATATACATGCCTCATCATGTCAGCGTGAGCTTGACCAATCCGGTTGACAGCATCCAACTTAGCATCAATCAAGGCCATCATCATATCAAACATGTGGTAAGGGTCATGTGGGCCAGGTTGATCAGGTTGAATAGGATGGTCAGAATGGTTACGCGGCTATTGGGGGGCAGGAATGGGTTGACCCTCCTCATCGATTAGGCAATATTGCAAGTAATATAACCTGTCAATTGTTTTCCGCAGCCTCTCAAATGGTGGATTGGAAATGTCAACCCCAGCAAGCTCACAAAGATGAGAAATCAATGACGGGTGCCCGAGAGGAGCTTTGGAAATTATAGACTGAGCACAATCGTTGATTTCATGGCCGATGATCTGACCTACATTAATCGGCTGCCCTTAGAGGATAAAGAAAAGAAGGATGGCCCTGCTAAAGGTGAGGTTAGAAACATGGGAGCACGGAGATATGTTGGCATGTATGAATGCCACCCAGTATTTGGAGAGA